ACGTACTAACGTAACTACGTACGTACGTAACTACGTACTACGTACTACGTACTACGTACTACTACTACTACTACTACTTACTACTACTACTACTACTACTACTACTCTCTCTCTCTCTCTCTCTCTCTCTCTCTCTCTCTCTCTCTCTCTCTCTCTCTCTCTCTCTCTCTCTTCTGGAAAGGTAGAGAATTCATGGGAAGAACCATAGTGCATATGAGAGAGAGAGAGTTTTTGTATGCTGCTCACCTCTCCATGAGGCTTTGGCAGTAATCCTTTCTTATGCAACTCTTTAGCAACATAATCCATTGCATCACTTCTTTCTTCTCGCGTCTCAAACGACGGATTCAACCTCAATTTCAATCTCTCCCGTCGCCATCCCCCGCTCTTATCAACATCTAATACCTCTTCGAAATCACCAAGATGCTCTGCGAACCTACATTAACATAACCCTTTCCCATAAGAACCAAAGAGAGAGAGAGAGAGAGATGAATTTCAGAGGGAAGAAGGAAGAGAGAGAGAGATGAATTTCACAGGACAATTCAACAAGAAAAGAGAGACTGGAAGATGGAATTGTATAATTATACGATCGACTTACTTTGGGTGTATGTAACCAATCACTTGGCCATCAAAAACAAATGGGAGGAGAAAAGCCTTCTTTTCCTGTAAGCATTAACGCACAAACAAAATCTTAGCTCCCCCATCTTATACTTACACAAAAAAGTCGACCTTTTGATCAACTATAAAACTATAAATCAATAGAACAAGAAAAAAAATCTATTAAATGGTTTTCAAGATCATTGTTTATTTACCAAACCACTGTTGCAAATCTGGATATGATTCATGTAAGGTTCCAAAGATGGAGCAGTCCTCCTCTTCACCTCAGCTTCTAAAAGTTTCAAGCTCGACAATGGCGACACCCTGTGCCTAGACATCGAGATCCATGCGCTGCTGCCTCTCTTTGAACTCAACAAAGAAGAGAGAGAAGAGAATTGAGAAGAGAGTGAAGAAGAGAGAGAAGAAGATGAAGGAGAGGAAGAGAGAGAAGAGTAGAAAGGGTTTTGACAGGCAATAGCCATGTTGTGTTTTGGTTCAGTTATGGTGATGGGTTTGATGGAGAGGGATCTTATTTATAGAATTAGAGGAGATTGCTTTTGTTTCGGGTTAATGGAGTGGAATTATTCATGTGGGAAGGGTCGAGGCAAGTGTGAAGAAGGCTCATTGTTCTTTGCTCAAAGCCTTAGGAGTGGTCAAAAGGGGGAGAGAAACTGCACCTGGGGTTACCAACCACAAGAACATGACTGTGAAACATGGTTTCGAAGGACCAACCAGCTTGTTGTCATGGTCCTCGCATGACTTTGACAAGATTGAGAGAGAGAGAGGGGCGGAGATCTTGACTTTAATTTGAGACATAGTAATTTAGAGAGAGAGGCAGACCTTGACTGTACTTTGAGTCGTAATAATTTAGAGAGAGAGAAATATGGGCTTTTCAAACGTTTTAGGGGTTACAAAGAAAATTATTTCATGGGTCCAGAGTGTGCCACTTGAAGTGGAAAAAATCAAATACAAATTCTAGGGAGATGCAGGGATCCCCAATTTGAGTATCGTTTTATCTAACCAACTACATAATTTAATATTATTATGGATGTATAGCTTCCGGGACGTGCATTTTATGACAGGGCAATTTCTCAACTCCCACCCTATAATATAAGGGATTGTACACTAGGCTACCATTTATTTTTGCATAACAAGGTCATAATTGGTATTAATAATTAGAAGTCAAATTGGATGGCTTAAATTGTGTCAAAAAATTCAATAAATTTTTTTTTAAAGTTGGAGTCTAGTTCACAACCTTCTTGTTTGAATACTGATGGATATAAGTGATTGTGACCTCCTTGTATTGTAAGTAAATGGTCACTTTGTATACTTTCCATAATATATTTAATGGTCAAATAAGCATCTGACTACTTGGGTGAGCCAACACGGACTTGCTCGAGTAAATCGGGCTCGCTAGCCTGTCAAGCCCGAGTATCCTATTTTTGGTGATCAAACTTGAGATCTTAAAAAAGGTCTCAAAATAAATTATAAAAAAATTTAAAAATAAAAAATTTATTTGTAAGATGCTTTTTATGTTTTCTATCATTTGCCTCTGAATTATTTTGGCTATGAATACTTATTTTTACCTTTTCCCTTATTTCAGATTATTTCTAAAATGCTCCTGATCACAAATTGATTTTTTCAAAAGCCATTTTTTAATACGTTTCTAATCTCATTTAAATGTATTTTATTTAATTTTACTTTAAACACCATATATGTGTTGTATTTTTTATTTTTAACACTTTGATCTGGCCAAGACCTACCCAAATCGAGCCGACTTTCTTGGATTCGACTCTAGCTAGTCGGCCCAACCCATGGCCAGGTTATGGGGCCAAGTAGTGCTTTCCTACACTAAATATATTGAGCAGAAGGTACATCATGCTGATTATAGTATCTGGGGACGTGTGTTAATGTAATTAAGATATATTATAAAGTAGAGAAAATTACATATATATCCATTATATTTTACGTTATTACAGATATACCAAAAAGTTTCCTTTATTACATGTCTATTTTTTTTTATCTTTTATAACGCAATTTTTTAAAAAAGACGACTTTACCCTTTTTCGGGTGTTCAACATCTTAATTGAAGGGTTTTTCAGATATTCAACATCCGAAAATAGCCTGAAAGTTTAACGTTCACATTACGCAGGCACATTTTTTGATGTTCAACATCCGAAAATATGCCATTTTCGGATGTCCAACATACGAAATTATTGTTAGATGTTGAACATCAGAAAATGTCACGTTTTTTGGATGTTGAAAATCCGAAAATGTCAAGTTTTTCGGTTGTTCAACATCCGAAAATGTCATATTTTCAGATATTCAACATCCTCCGAAATGTCACATTTTCAGATGTTCAACATCCGAAAGTATGCCTGTGAAATTCCAGAAGGTTTTTTTTTGCATGTTATTTTCGGATGTTCAACATCCGAAAATGTGTCATTTTCGGATGTCCAACATCCGAAATTATTTTGACTACAAACGTTAAACTTTCAGCTATTTTCGGATGTTGAACACCCGAAAAAAAGTAAAGTTGTCTTTTTAAAAAAAATTACGTTATAAAAGGTAAAAAACGAATAGACATGTAATAACGAAAATTATTCGGTACATCCGTAATAATGTAAAATACACCGGATATATGTGTAATTTTCCTTATAAAGTATTAGCAACGCATATACGGTGTTTAACTTTCACTCTTTTGTTTTTTTTTTTTTCTTTTTTTTTCCCTTTCGGGTATGTCTGGTGAATACAGGTCCCTACCCGTTTTTTCAAAAAATAGTTAATGATGTTCAAACGTGTAAGTGGGAATAAAAACTTAAGACCTGTAATTGTGGCTCCGTAGCTAAGCTCCGGTGCTGCTGCTACGACCAAGATCTCAACTCCATTCCGAACTTGTAGGGCTCTAATTGTGAAATGAAATTGGCTTATTTTTAGTCATCAACGTATCCAGGTAGATATTTTCTGAAATTCAGACAAGGTATGATCTATGAAGCATGTGAACACACCAGAGTTTTGAACTCTTCTCTCTGATATCCTTCCAGTATGGTGTAACTTTTTCAAGGAAATAAAATGTCTAGGAGATGTCCAAGAGCCAAAAACGGTATTATACTATCAAGGATTAATTTTAGGATTCCAAAATTTAGAAGTGTAACCTACCTAATCTCAAAAATAAATCAATAAATAAATCATAATTACAACTTCATGCCCTTGTAAAAAAACTCTCACAATTGATTAAAGACGCGCATCTAAGCATTAAAAAACTCAAAATTCTTTTTTTTTTTTAATAATTATCTAATAATTTTTATTCAGTTCCTAACATTTCATACTAAGCAAATCTTCCCAAGTAGGACTTCAAACCTAGGGAGCAGATGTACGTTACCACTATTCAAAAAGCAGTGTTGTTATGCAAACGCAAATTGGAGACACTTCAACACATGTCAATAACCTATTTGTGGCTTGATACTTCGATGCATGTCAATTATCATAGATATAAGTTACAATTATTGTGTGTCGTAATATTTTGTAACATAATATATATTCTGTTTTGACGTTGTCCACAATAGTTTTGGCAAATTGATATGTTTCTTGGGGTTAATTTATACTTTCAAAAATTATTAAACCACTACTAACGGTTAATGTTAAAAATAAATAAAAAGATTTTTATGTGGTCATACCAGTATTTTAAAAAATGCCGAGTCGAACAGGACTCACCCTGTTCGACTCGAGAATCGGCACAGTCCGTGCCGGTTCCAGTATTTTACACGGAATCGCACGATTCCAGAGAGAACCGGGCAATTCTGCCGATTCACTGTACCGAATCAGTGAGTCCCGTGAAGAACACGGGCTGTACAGTGTTCTTCACGGGTTTCTTCAAATTTTGTCTTTTTTTAATCATTTTTCTTCTTTTTTTTACCATGTGATCGAATATTCAGGCTTTATGCAGTTTTTTTCAGCCTTTTCATGCATTAAATGGAGGAAAATTTTCAATTTTTTGGATCATGAAAGTTGCGGGTTTTAACGTTTCCGCTTTTTGTTTGTTTCATGCCAAATAGGGCATGAATCTGTGAAAAGTTTGAGGCATATTGATCGTAAATGTGTTCCCTAGAAATTTCTGTTACGAATTTGTGATTATCTTTGAGAAAAACAGATTAATTTGGAGATTGAAGCCACGGCTTCACGAAACCAGGTAAGAACTCTGCCTTCTTCTTTTTTTTCTGCCCATTTGATCAATTTCAGTCCATATTTTGAAAATAATCAGTTAAATTTGTAGGGTTTTAAATCTTTATCGTGTCTTTTATCATTTATCATATTTAATTTTATTTAATTTACTCAATTACAGCCTGAGTTTTTAGAAGAACACAGTGATGTCTGTGGAAAAAAAAATTCTGCTGTTTTTTTTTTTTTCCGCCTTTTGATCTATTGTTCACAATATATTACAAATAATGTGTTAGATTCTAGGGTTTTGAATCGTATAATCTTGTTTATAATCAGATGTACTCAACTTGATCTGATTTATTCAATTTGAGCTTTATTTTTTAGATTCAATGACTGTTGTCTGTGAAGAACTGCGTTTTTTTTTTTTTTTGCTTAATTTAATCGATTTGATTTGATTTATTGATTATAATGTGTTCATAATCTAGGGTTTTGATTCCTTATAGTATTGTTTATCAAAACATATACTCAATTGT